TCATTTCCTCCATCCTATGCTTTGCTGTGAGTCACTCTCAACTGGACCTTTTTACTTGCCAAGTCACTGTCCTACCTATTTTTAACTTGAGTCCCCATTTCTTGACTCTCAGAACACATTTTGAAAATGGCTGTTAAGTGCCCCAGTGCTCCCCACTCACAGCGTGCAGGTCCAGTATGGCATGGCTGCCTGCATCACTGGGGGCGGGGATAGAGGGTCAGTTTCATCTGGTGTTCCAGCCAAGGCTTGTGCTTACGTTGGAAGTGTGGGGAGCCAAGGACTATGAAATTTGACTTCTTACATCTTTTTTTGACCCAACAACCTTGTAGCACTCAAGAGATTGGTTTTGGAATATGAAGCAGTGAGGAAATGATGCTCTTTTTGTTTTGTTTTTGTTTGTTTAAAAGTAAAACCCTAAGCGTGGCAGCTGATTATTTCATCCTGGGATCCATAAAAAATATTTTCATCTGTGTAGACATCACTCTGTCCTGTGTTTGAAGCCACAGGGTCTCTGCTTAGGTTTCCTAGACCAGGGATTGACACCATTTTCCTATAAAGCACCAGATAGTAAATATTTTAGGCTTTGTGGGCCATAGAGTCTCAACTCTGCTGTTACAGTGTGAAAGCAGCCACAGACAATATGTAAACGAGTGAGTGTGGCTGTGCTCCAGTAAAATTTTATTTATGAAAGCAGGTGGCAGGCTGAATGTGGCCTGTGGGCTGTAGTGTGCCAGCCACTGCAGTAGGCCTGTGAGAGGCAACTGAGAACAGTGAGTAAGAGAACGAGCACTGGCATTGGGTTTGTGTGGACCCCAGCCCTGCTGCTTTGTGGCCCTGGACTTGGGCGAGTCATTTAATAAGGGGTAAGAGTGTCTGCCCATTGGGCTCTCAGGAGAGTCCAGGGTCACGTTGTCCATGAAGAGTGTGGTACAGAGCCTCGCACATGGTGAATACTGACTCCTGCTGCTGTTTCCTGTTGCCAGTCCCTTGACAGGAGGGCCTGTTGGGAATGATTTTAGGCACATTAAAGGCTAAAGCTAATTGGAAGTTGATTTGCTTACTTATTTTCTAAGCATAAAGTCTCTTTGAAAAAAACACGTGGCCTTCTCTAGCCGCCGAGAAGGTCACTGTTGTTGCCCAGTGCTGTGGCTTTCACAGCTGAGTAGGTAAACAGTGCAACTAAGTGGAACCAGTTAGACAAGTCAAGCCAAAAATAAAGATAAGGTTAATGTCGACTCCATTAGACTCAGCTTGCTTTTTGGCTTTTATGACGAAGACTAAGGTGGTTGATAGGGAAGGGCATGGTGAGTAAATCCCACCCACTCTAAGACCGGCAGTGCATTCTTCCGCTGAGCTTTGTCAGCTGGCCACCTGCTCTGTGCCTGGCATTGTGCTGGGCAGCAGGAGTTGCAGACTGAGCAGGGAGGGACATGTCTCACCTTGCAAGAGCTCACAGTCTAGTAAAGCAGAGTAGAAGAAAGTTGGATAACCACAACGCAAGGCAGAATGGAACTGTGGTTGCCCGCCACCTCATCGGCCAGACTTCTCCAGCTTTTTTTGGTCCCTGGCCTGGCTCTGTCATCCCTGCCCTGATTCCAGTCCCTTCTTACCCAGCCCTGCTCTCTGCTCCAGCCAGGACAGTTCCCACTGCCTTCTTACATGCTTATTCTAAACTCATGTGTCCATTCATTCATTAAAAAAATATTTGAGTGTGTATTATTTGCCATTGAAAAGACAAGGTCCGTCTTCTCATGGATTTAAAGGCTATTTGGAGTAATATAGAGTGATCTGTCACAAACTGATGCTATCAGGGTGGGGGATAAAACTCTCTCAGATTTAATTTTAAAAAATGAACCAGACAGGGAGGATTTCCATGGTATGTGTGTTTATGTTTGTGCACATATAGGTTATATTTTACAGAAATGAGAGCAGACTGTATGCACATACTGTCCTTTTCTTTCTGTTCCATTTTCATTTAGCTTTCCTTCCGTTCCCTTTCTGATCGATTCTTTGCCTATTTTGAGTATACCCACCCTGACTTAAGTATATATTTAGGGAATAGGTTCAAAGCATCATTAACATATTAATACACAGAAATATTGTCAGAGTTAGAGATATTAGAGAATTTTTTTCTGTGAATTAGTTTCCATTTCAACTTTATGCCACATTGTAAATTTTGTTGTCATATTTTTCCTTTTCCCTTAGAATTTCTTTTCCTTTAGAATTTCTTTTCCTTTTCCCTCCGCTTTTTATTTTGAAAAATTTCAGACCTATATTAAAGTTTGAAAGTGTGTACATTCATATACTCTTTACTTAGATTCACCAGTTAACTTTTTGCTTCATTTGTCTTTTCTCTCTACATATTTAATCTTTTATTCTGCTGAACCATTTGACAATAAATTGCAGACATTGTAGAATTTCCCCTCTGGTATTTGAGTATGCACCTCCTAAGAACAAGGAAATTGTCTTTTTTAGCCATAAAACCATTATCATACCAAAGAAATTCAACACTAATACAGTGATGTTAGCTAATACCTAGTCAGCATTCACATTTTCTAGCAGTCTCAAGACAGTCCTTTATAGATTGTTCCTTTTAAATCCATGATCCAATCAAGGATCATGCATTACATTTAGTTTTCAAGACTTTAAATCCACTTAATCTAGAACTATCTTCCTGTCTTTTTTTTTGTCTTTCATAATATTAATGGTTTTGAAGAATCCAGGCCAGCTGTATTGCAAAATGTTCCAAACATGGAATTATCTGATCTGATTGTTTCCTTGCTATTAAGATTCAGGTTAAACATTTTAGGAAGAGACTACTCTAGGGGATGCTATATCTGCTGTATCCTTGCCATTAAATCACGATCAAGAATGTGATGTAAGTTCGTCCTGTTATTGTTGGTACTAACTTAGATCACTTATCTGTCAAATTTCCCCATTTGAGGCTGCCCCTACCCCATGTAATGAGTAAGTAATCAGCGAGGTGATACTTTGAAAACTGTGTCGTGTTCCCCAACAGTTTTTTGCGCAGTGATTCGAGCATCTACTGATGAGCTTTGCTCTATCAGTTATTAATTGGTGGTTGCAAAGTAATGTTTTTGTCATTCCTTCTACCTTTGTTAGCTGGCATTTGTCTGTGAAGAAGAGCCCTTCCACATTTTTTAAAGTATCCTTATGGGATTCATGGATTCCTTTTTGTTCATTATGTTATGACCCATTACTGTCTTTCTCTTTAAATTTTTTTTTTATTTTACATTTATTTATTTTTGAGAGACAGAGAGAGACAGAGCATGAGCAGGGGAGGGGCAGAGAGAGAGGAGACACAGAATCCAAAGCAGGTCCCAGGCTCTGAATTGTCAGTACAGAGCCCGACGCGGGGCTCGAACCCACAAACCGTGAGATCATGACCTGAACTGAAGTCAGACACTCAACCAACTGAGCCACCCAGGCGCCCTGTCTTTTTGTTTTAACTGAGAATATTTTAAATTGAGTTATGACTTACAGTGAAATTTATAGGTATTAAGTATACAGTTTAATTAGTTTTCACAAATGCATATGTACATGTAACTCTCACCCTATCGAGATACAGAACGTATCCATTAACCCTCCCTGCCAAATTTCCTTTGGCACCTTCCCAGGGATTCTCCCATGCCACCTCAGCAAGAAGCATTAATCTGATTTCTTCATTATTCTCTTTGATGTTTATATTATCCCAAACATTGGCAATGAAAGCCTCATCTGTTGGCTTTATGTCCATTTGACATGTCCATTGTAATCTTTGAGCACTTTCTTGGTTTCTGGCGTAAGAAGGTGTTTTGTTTTATTCTTTTTACCAGCTGAAAATATCCGATAGTATGTATACTAGTTAAATAATTTCTCCATTAGTGAGCTTTAGGTTGTTTCCTTTTTTATTTTATTACAGAAATGCCATGCCCCACTTTTGTGGGTATTTTTGTAGGCTGGATCCCTAGAAGTGTTATTTCTAGGTCAAAGAGTGTGCACATTTAAGTCTTTGAGTGATATTGCCAAATTCTTCCTTCCCCTCTTAAAAAGCTGTGTTAATTAAGTTTCCAGAAATAGTGCCGGTTTCCCCACAGCCTTATCAACATTGAATTTTATCTGTCTGTGTGTGTATGGTGGTGTAGGATTTGATTTTGGACTTATTTTTGAGGAAGGTGAACATCCAAATAAGAGAGCCTCCTTTTTGGTTCCAAGCCCAATTTTCATTTATATAAAAATGAAATCTCTCCTTAAGGGAGAGGTTAAACCAAGGAGAAATTTTTGACAGAAATTCTCTGTCATTCACTGTCATCCTCACCATTACAGCCAACTTTTGGCAAATGTATTCTTACTGTTTCTAGTCTGCATTAACTGAATATGGGAGATAAAGGAAGATAGGGTGTGAGGGGCATGATGGCATTGCCCCCAAGGCTTCTGGTTTTCTTAAGCAGTCTTTATAAAATTTGGTCCAGAGTTACTATGGATTTCTATCTTTAAATAGCCATTGGAACTGGATTTTTATTTTGCAACGAACCTTGATGATTCTGTATTTGGGGTAGCAGGTTTATTATAACATATATGTGTGTGATATCACTTTGGTGTCAGCTAGTAAACAAAATCTTTGCATTTTTGTTTTATTTTAAATTTTTTTTTTCAACGTTTTTTTTATTTTATTTTTGGGACAGAGAGAGACAGAGCATGCACGGGGGAGGGGCAGAGAGAGAGGGAGACACAGAATCGGAAACAGGCTCCAGGCTCCGAGCCGTCAGCCCAGAGCCCGACGCGGGGCTCGAACTCACGGACCGTGAGATCGTGACCTGGCTGAAGTCGGACGCTTAACCGACTGCGCCACCCAGGCGCCCCCATTTTTGTTTTATTTTAAATAGTGAACCTTAGGTTAACCACTTTGTAGATGATTTGGACTTTTTTTTTTCAAGTTGAAGAAATTGTTTGAGAGCTGTTGTCTCTGCTACAGTTACTTGTGTTGATTATCTTCATAGGTATTTGAAGCAGTGATTTCGTGGATCAATTATGAGAAGGAAACCCGTTTAGAGCACATGGCAAAACTGATGGAACATGTCCGTCTCCCTCTCTTACCTAGGGATTACCTGGTCCAGGTGAGTGCTGTGTGAAGCACCACATGCTTTCCTTCACTGGGCAACCCTGGATGTATGGGGTGGTTGGAGAGTTTATGGGTATTTTATACAGGCTGAAGGCACCAACCCACTGGCTTAAGTGTGAGACATGGTAATGTAAAGGTTTTTTTTGTTTTTAATTTTTATTATTGAGGTATATAGTTGACATACTGTGTTATAGTAGATGGTAGTGTGAGATCTAAAAGCGTAAGTTTGAGAATAAGACGCTTAGGTTTTAGTTCTTGCTCTACTAGTTGTTAGCTTTGTGTTTTTATTTTACCTCTTCAAGTCATAGTTTCTTCTTTGCTGGAAGGGATATTATGGTAGAGCCCAGCAGGATTATTGTGAGGACCAAAGGAGTTGTAAATATGTAAGTCAGGTGTTTAGCATGGAGCTGGTCCTAAAAAATGTTCACTAGAAGTTAGTTGCTTTTATTGTAGAGGACCTAAGCAAGAAGGGTCATTTCCACAATGTTTCTGTATTCTCTTTGCCTTCATGTTAGGCAAGTTGGAGCCCAATGCAGGACTGTAAAAACCGATCTTTCACAGGTGCCTAGGATACGTGTTGCTTTGACTTCCTCTAAGATGAAAGAAAAATTAAGAATGATGGGGTGCCCCTATGGTGCCACATATTTTCTTATTTAATCCTTGTAACAACCCTGTGAGGCAAAGATAGATAACCCTCTTTTTACAAGTTTGGGCCTTGAGGTTTATAGAGGTTTAGATTTATTGGGGAATAGGTGGCAGGGTCAGGATTCAAATCCAAGTCAGTCGGCCCCGAAGCACCTGCCTTCCACTATGCAGGCTGCCACCTTTAATACTCTCTGTTCTGTTTATCCATTGGCATTAGATACACTTATAAGTGGGCAAAGAGTAAAACTTAAATATATGAGCAAAACAAAACACCGAGGCAGTAGGCCAGCCCTCATCTCTTTCCAGAAGTTTCTGGAGGGAATGGAAGGTGTGAAGCAAGGATAAGAGAGGAGGCTCAGCATCCCAGCAGCCTAGCTCTGTCACTTCCCAGCCATCTAACACTAGGCAAGTACTCAACCTTTTTTTTCTTTAAGTTTAGTTATCTATTTTTTGAGAGAGCACAAGTAAGGGAGGGGCAGAAAGAAGGAGAGACAGAATCCAAAGCTGGCTCTGCACCATCAGCCCAGAGCCCAGTGCTGCACTCGAACTTAGGAACTGTGAGATCATGACCTCAGTTGAGACCAAGAGTCAGATGCTTAACTTACTGAGCCAGCGCAGAGCCCCACGCAGGGCTCCAACTTACAAAACCTTGAGTTCGTGACCTGAGCTGAAACCAGGAGTCAGACGCTTACCCGACTTGAGCCACCCAGGTGTCCCAGTACGCAACCTTTCTAAACCTCAGTCTTCTCATCTGATAAAAATAGCACCTGTCCTTATAGGATTGTTTGGGGGTATAATGAGATAATCCATATAAAGGCTGCATCTCTATGTGAGCGAATGCTAGCTGGTACTACAGCTGTTTTGACGGTCATGGATGCTCTTGGGAATAGCGGGAGAAGTTTCTATCCTCAAAAGCCCTTGTAAAGTCCTCAGCTTGTGACCCTGTTGACCACAGGTCGAAGGGGTCAGTGAAATGTTCTGTGACTCTCTGAACCTCAGTCCTTCTCAGGTGCTGAGGCATATACTTGCCAGCCCTTATGTGTGCCCTGCATTTTATACTTTGGATGGTACTACTGCCCCCTGGTGGCAGCATATCCTTCTTGAAGAAAAGGTTCCCCTAAGCAGCGGGACTGAAGGGGCCTGAGATCCCAGTCTCAGAATCCAACCTCCTACTGTCCTGTGGGAAACTGACCAAAGGTAGACATGGACATCTGGCCTCCAGCACAGGCTCACTTCCACAAGAAGGGCTATCTGTGGACCTGGGTTCCAGGGAAAATTAAAGAGGCCTTTGAGACCCCTGGTCACAACCTCAATCAGGTGTCCACAACTCAAACTTAAAGATGTTAGAAAATAGTTCTTGGGTCATTATGGCAAAGTACGGATTAGATCTGGAGAGGAAGGGGGTCAGAGGCAATGGGCATGAGCACTGTTGTGTGAGAATCCCCCTGCTGCTTTTAAAGGACTGCCTTTAGAACACCTCTGGAAGAGGTTGTCTCAGTAAACCTCAGTTGACCTTGAAACTTTGAAATAGTATAACCCTCTGGGGTTGGCTGATCTTGGTGGGGGAGGACGCAGGAAAGTCTTGGGCAGACCTGCACCAACAGTGACTTCTGGGGAAGGTGGTTTTGTTTGTTTGTTTTTGATAGCTAACATTTATTAGTCTTCATTAAATACTTTGAAATATTGTAGAGTGTAATGTTATATGTTAAAACTTTTTAGTTGTGATTATATATATATGTGTGTGTGTGTATATAAAACATAAACTTCATCATTTTGACCAGTTTTAAGTGTACACTTCAGTGTGTTAATTGTATTCACCATGCTGCACAACCATCACATACCCATCCTTAAAACTTTCATATCACCCCAAATTGAAACTCTGTATGGTGAAGCATTAAATCTCTGGGAGAACTTCTCATTCAAGCTGAATGCACCTTTGGGAGAAGTAGCTGTTTATGCATTTCACCTTCCATCTGAGATTTGTAAGAGATCTTCTCTCTTCCTTTTTAATTTTTTTAACCGACCCTAAAAGCTTATGACTTGTCCCAACTTGGGTCAGTCCCTTAGTGTGGGTGGGGGGGATTAGGGAAAACTTCCCCCAAAATGGAGTGTTCCTGGGAATCACTTCTGGGGAAGGAGGTGCCCACTGGTGAGAGAGGCCCTGTCATACCAGTCCTTCTTTTCCTGCCAGCTCCAATGCTACCCATTAGTTGATGGCCTGGCCACATTTCCATTGATAGCTGCAGGTGAGACTCAGTCAGCCCTTGTGCATGACCAGCTTGAGGGCTGAGATAATTGAGATGGGGAGGCCATTCTCTTTCTTTGACTGGACTTGAGTGCCTCAGGGTCAGAACCCATTTCTTGTTCATCTTTTTCTTCCTGGAGTCCAGCACTGGGCTGTCCAACAATGAGACGTTCCATCATCGTTAGCTATTGAATCGAATTGATCTCTCCTGATAGCACCTAAATACTCCAGCAAAGAAAACATGAAGTGGCCTCTGAAGACCATACTACCCCTTACAGATAAGCCACATAGCAATTGACCCAGGCCACAGGACAGAGATTTGAGAATTGAGCACTTGCATGGTTTCACCCTTGGTGTTGCTCACAAAATATTTAGGCTTATACTTGCTGAGCATCTGCTTTGGCACATCGCTTTGGAGTATGTGAAGAAGCCATAGTTCCAGCTTGGATAGGGTCCAAGATGAGGTCTGTAGGTGGGACTTTGGTGCAGGACATTCTTTGTCCTCTAATATCACCATTCTTTATAGAGCACCTCATTGGCCAGTTTTGTCCCTGCAGCTTTCACTATAAGAAAATGAATAGGAGTTTTTCTTGACCGTCACTTTGTCATACTCCATGCTGCCAAACGTTGACCAATGGATTCTGCTCTCTTCCTTTTTCCCTCTCTCTCCTCTCAAATGTCTGACCATTTGCCCTAAACATTATAAAGCATTCATATTAGGAGGAATGTGGGATGCAGCCTTCAGCACAGCTAATTATCTTTGTTTTGCATAATTCCATTTAAGCCTGCAAACTAACATAACAAACACAACCACTGAGGTTGTATGTCTTTCTGTTTGATGCCAGAACTTAATAACTTCACCCCACTGTGTTCTTGAAATGCAGGAGGTGGGCACTAAGTTGTAAGTATGTGGTCTTTCTCTTGAGGTCTGAGATGATGTGGTGGGTGAATAAAAGAGTGTGGGAATACAAGAATGACTCAGGAGACAGTGTGGGAAATACAGCTGAAGTCTGCTCTTGGATCACCTGTGGGTTATTACCTCCAGACGGTTGAAGAAGAAGCTTTGATAAAGAATAACAACACCTGTAAGGACTTCCTCATCGAGGCCATGAAATACCACCTGCTTCCTCTGGATCAGAGGCTCTTGATTAAGAACCCAAGGACCAAGCCCAGGACTCCAGTCAGCCTGCCCAAGGTAAGCCCCAGCCCAGTCAGTGCCAGCTGTCAGGGCTGTGTTCTGGGAAAGTGGCCTTCCATTGCTGGCTCCAAGTCTTTCCTCACCTGTGGCTGCCTTGCTTCTTGGTTGCATTTACCAGCTAAGAGATGGAGTCTGCTGGTTCATTTTGAATCTGCTGGTACCTCTCTCTTGCAGGGTCTTCCTGTCCTAAGAATTTCAAGGTAACCTCCAGAGGCACCAGAGAGTTTTGAGAATAACTCCTTCGTCTCCTCTCCTTATTTGCTCTGGGTTCTATTTGTGTTGGAAGCAGAGGAATGGCTTTGTGTTTCTTGACTTAGTGATTTCTAGGCCATTATTTGAATTTGAATGGTCCTAGTCTGGCTCTTTTATCTCACCGTAGAGCCCTACAGAACAGTTAGGGCTGCCAGACCGGGTATTGGCTGCTTTGGTTCCTTGCAAGGCCCTGCCTCTCTCTGGTCCTCAGGTCTTTCATCTACAGAATGAAAGGTCCTGCACTGGCTGGTGTCTAAAGTCCATTCCAGGTTGGCCTTCCAGTAGGCCGTCTAGGATCCTAAAACGCTGACGTCTCAGGAAAGGTCCCAGCCAACCCAGGAGGAAAGGTGAGCAGAGAGGAGTGAGTTGTGTTGACTCAGCTACCGCACAGCCGGCAGCCCCAGGGCATTGTGTAGGCCTTTGCTTTGTCCTCCTCCTCCTCCTCTTTCTGTCTGGCTGCCCTACTCCTTGTCTGCTGCTTCCAGGAAGGGTTTCAGAGTGCTGGAGAAGCATGTTGTCCAAGACCAGATGTTGAGATTCTCCAGGGTCTGTGCTTCCTCTCCACTCTGTGTTGTGACCCTGGGTGATGGAGAGTTTAGTGGGTGCAGTGTGGATGAAGGTTATAAATCTCCCAGATAATAATACGAGTCACTGGCATTTGCTGAGTGCTGCTTCAGGGGCAAACAGTAAGCTGAAAGGTATCACAGTAGAGCTTTCTTAATCCCCTCAATAGCCCTGTACGGTAGAGGCAGGTATCCTAGCTGTACACAGAGGAAACGGAAGGTCAGAGAGATTAAGTGACTTGCCCAAGGTCAACACAGCCAGTGTAGTAGAGCCAGTGTTTGAATGGTGTCTTTCTCACCCTCCAAACCTGTTCTGTGAACCCACACCATCCTGCAGCTGGCTTCATCTTTGTAAACCTGAGTGTATGTACCTACTTGTCAGCTTCCTATCGCCCAGCGCATGTTAGAAGGTGCAGCCACCAGGCAAGGGCCTTGGTCTGGCTGGCCATTTGTCTTCCTGCGTGTTGATGCTTTGGTTTTATTTTATTGAAATATTGCACTGAAATGACTTCATATTTTTCAAAATGAAAATAACTTTGCTTTCTTCAGTTATAGAAATATGTGGTCATTGCAGACTGTTAAAAGGCTACTACATTTTTGAAATAAAGTAAAAATCACCTGAAATTCCTCCACTCAGGGGCAATCACTGCTGTTACCTTGGTGAATTTTCTCCCAGACATATCTCTGTGCACCTAGTCACAAATAGATAAAAAATGTATACTTTCAGATAAATGGAATCTTGTTCCACAGATTGAATATCATTTTTATCTCCTACTCAACAGACTACTTTCATCATTATCAGTATAGGTGAAACCAGCATTAAATTATAATAGGTACATGGAATTTAATTATGTTTATGTACCATTACTTATTTAACTGTCCTCTATTGATGGACCTTTTTATCATCTCCATTTTTTTTTCTATTACAAACATTTCTATGTAATTTATGACCTCTTGTTTTAGTTTGCATTTCTTGTAAGTGAGACTCTAATGTTGGTTTCATACGATTATGGCTTTTGTATTTCTTTTTTAGGGGAATTTTCTGTTCATGTACTTTGCCCATTTTTCTATTGGACTGTATGTTTTTAATTAATGGTGTTTTTTTTTTTAATGTTAATTTATTTTGAAAGGGAGACAGAGAGTGCAATGAGCAGAGGAGGGGCAGAGAGAGAGAGAGAGAGAGAGAGAGAGCGAGCGAGTCCCAAGCAGGCTCTTTGCTATCAGCACAGAGCCCAGTGTGGGGCTTGATCTCAGGAACCATGAAATCATGACCTGAACCAAAACCAAGAGTTGGACACTTAACTGAATGAGCCTTCCAAGGGCTCCTATTAATGGTTTTTAAGGGCTGTTTTTAATTTAAAGGGATTAGGCTTTCATGTGTATTTCACATATTTTTTTCTTAGTTTGCAGTTTGCCTTTAAACTTAATTATAGCATTTTTTTGAATCCCCAAAAAACAGTTTTAAGTAGTTAAATTGGTATGTCTTTTGCTTTATAGCTTAGGTTTTACATCCTGCTTAGAAATGTTTTCTATACTCTCAGATTAAAGAAAAAAAGACTCCCATGTTTTCTCAAGTACTTTAACGATTTCTGTTTTACATTTGAATCTTTGATGCACTTAGAATTTATTTTAGTATAAGGAGAGAGGGTAGGAATCCAGCTTTATTCCTATTGCAAATGATGAGCCAGTTGCGCCAAAGTTGTTTTATTGAATAATCTCCCTTTCCCCCCATCAATCTGAATACCACCTTCATTATGATCTAAATTTACATAAGCTTGTCTATTGAGGTCTTGAGATTATTGATTCTAAGATGGACTGTTGTTTTACATGGAGGAGGCTTTCTGCATCCTGGGTTCCCAGCTGGCATTGTTGCATGTCTTTGTGGCTTTTCTCCTTGGAAAAGGAGGTTCTTATCCTATATGTTAACAAGTCACCAACATCTTTTGCTGGGGAGTGTGTTCTGGAACTAAGGCAATGGTGCAGAACTGGCCCAGTTTCTTTGTGTGGAAACCATACATAGTTACCTTTCCTTTTCTAGACTCCACATCGAGTTTTTACCACACACACCCACAAGAAGAGTTTTAAAAATCAAAGCCAAGTTTGTGTCTGAGTCCAAACTCTGCCTGCTGAGACCACCCCTCCCTTTTGACATAACAAATCTGTAATTGGTAACAGTCCACCCCTCTTTAATGAGACCACGGTTGTCCCACTGTCCTCTCTACTCCTTAGGAAACACTATTTTCAGAATGAAAATGGTTAGATTCTTGAGCACATAGAGTTCTGTGGGGAGCTAGAATCAAGACTTCTTGTGAATCTGTTGAAGGAATTTTAAAAAAGACATTGCTGCTCTTAACTTCATTGTTCCCCTAACTTTAATCCTTGAATGATTTAAGGTTACATTGTCCAACCTGCTTCTCAAACTCTACTCTGTCACCATTGTTTGGACACTTAAATTAGTGAGGGGAACCCCACTGTAGGTTTGAGGAGTGGGGTATGCTGAGGGAAACTATCACTTTGAGGATTATCAGAGGTAATTATCTCATTAAATCATCACAATATTAGGGGTGCACTTTTGATATCCCTCCTTTACTGAGTTTACTCAGAGAGGTTAAGTAACTTGCCCAGTTACACAGCTAGTAAGTGCAGAGCTGGGGTTTGAACCAAGGTCTGTTCCACTCCAAAGTCTATGTTTGTTCTTTTTTTTTTTTTTAATTTTTTTTTCAACGTTTATTTATTTTGGGGACAGAGAGAGACAGAGCATGAACGGGGAAGGGGCAGAGAGAGAGGGAGACACAGAATCGGAAACAGGCTCCAGGCTCTGAGCCATCAGCCCAGAGCCTGATGCGGGGCTCGAACTCACGGACCGCGAGATTGTGACCTGGCTGAAGTTGGACGCTTAACCGACTGTGCCACCCAGGCGCCCCAATGTTTGTTCTTTTATACTAGATTGCCTCCCAGAGACAGGTTTTCAGCTTTTGGTGACAAAGTAAAAGTAAAGTAAAGTCTTATACCATCCCACTCATCTTATTAAGAGATGCATTTCCAATACATTTACTACTTTTTATTTTCAAATTAAGACTTTATATTTTTAGAGCTATTTTAGGTTCACAACAAAATTGAGGGTAAGGTACAGCAATTTTCCATATACCTTCTGCCCCTACACATGCAGTTTCCCCCATCATCAACATCCCAAATTGTTTTCTTTTAAATTCAGTTTTACAGAGGTATTACAAATTATACACAATAAAATTCACTAGGGAGACAATTTGATGAATTTCGAGAAATGCATGTAGGCATTCACTAACATCCTAATCAAAATATGGAATATTTTAAGCACTCCACAAAGTTTCTTTGTGCTGCTCTCTAGTCAAGTCCCTTCTTGTACCCCCCCAGGCCTTGGCAACTAATGATGTGATTTCTGTCCCTCTAGCTTTGTCTTCTCTAGAATGTTATATAAATGACATCATGACATATGTAGCCTTTTGAGTTTTCCTTCTTTATCTTAGCATAATGCTTTTAAGATTTATCCACATTGTCGCATGTATAAAGAGTTTGTTCCTTTTTATTGCTGAGTAATATTCTATCACATGGACGTCCTATAATTTGTTTTTCCATTCACCATTTGATGGACATTTGGATGTCTACTTTTGGCTTTTACAAATAAAGCTATTTGAACATTCACTTACAGATCCTTGTTTGGACTTACATTTTAATTTCTCTTGGGTAAATACCTAGGAATAGGATTGCTGGTAAGTATATGTTTAAATTGATAAGAAATTGCTTATATTTAAATTTACAAGAAACTGTTTCTCAAGACATTCGAGACAACTGTTTTTCAAGCTGTACCATTATGCATTCCCATCTTAACCGTACTTATTATCTGTTTTAAACCATTTTAGCCACTGTAGTAGGTATGTGTGGTTTTAATTTGAATTTCTCTAAGGACTACTGATGTTGAGCATCTTTTCATGTGTTTATTTGCTGTCTATATATCTTCACTGGTGAAGTCTATTCAAATTTTTTCCCCTTTAAAAGAATTGGGTTATTTTATTCTTATTGAGTTGTAAGAATCCTGTATATATTGTGGATATGTCTTTTATCAAATCTGTATTTTGCAAGTATTTTCTCCCAAACTGTGCTTTGTCTTTTTTATTTTCTTAGCAGTATCTTTGGGAGAGTAGA